TCTCAATCGCCTTCTCAGTGCACCCCAGGGGTGGGGCTGGCACAGCAGGCCCGGGGATTGAACTCCTGGCCCCTGTGTCTGCCTAAGCAGGCGCTTTAATCCACTGAGCTGTTTGGCCGGCCCTATCTCCAGTTTTCAAGGCTGATTATTTTATTTTCCAGCAGGCTCCTATGTCCACAGAAGCACGGTAGCATTTATCCTGTGTTAGGTATTATAAATAATCTATAAATGGCTAAAAGACTATAGGACAGTGGTGAGAAACATACCGCATGCATGCCACAGCAGGCTGTTTATCACTGAAAGCTCTAAAAGGTTCACCATCACTGCTTTAGGAAAAGGTAGCCTAACATGTAAATACTACCATTCAGACAAGGGATTTGAGTACCCATAGATCTTGCTATCTTCAGAGTCCTAGAACCAATCGCTATAGATTCAGATGGGACTGTGCTCCTCCTTGCCTCCCAAAAAATTAAGGTTCCTTCTGTTGCCCTAAGCACATCTGATTGTTAGCCATCAGGTACAACAATTTCACCCCAATGTGCTGGGCAGATCTAAATTTCTTTTGACTTGGTTCTGCACATAGCTAAATACAAGCAAGAAACTCCTTTACCAACTGCCCAGAAACTTCGCCTTCTTTACTTCCGAGAGATACAGTACCGGACAGAATGGATGAAATCCATAGTTTGCATCTGATCACACTCTCAGCTTTTCCTTAGGAGGAAAAAAGTGGTCAAAGGTTGCTGAACCCCATTCATGTGTGACTTGGTATGTTATGAGGCTCAAGGGACCAACTCTGTCGTCATTATGCTACTGTTTCAAAATTCTAACAATCACTTACTGACTTTACAAAGTACAAATGTTAATATTAGGTCTAACTGTAGTGTCAGGATTTAATATCAAACATGGAGACACTTTTTGCCCTTACTACTCATCTTAGCCAAGCAAATGAGGGTCCTTGAGAAACTGACCACCCCTCTCTGGGCTGTGATCTTAAAGCAGAATCTCAACTTCTGGAATTTTCATTTATGGGATCTTTTATGGTAAGCTATATTTTAATGTCAGTTTACTGAAGGCAGGTAAATTTAACATCAGAGAGTACTCTTAATCATTGACACAGTGACAATGCGGACATTTAGTGCTGGTAGTAGATGGATCTGTTACTTCCTATATGATATATGGTCAGCAATTTTCCATTTCTTTTCTTTTTCTTTTTTTTGGTGGTACTGGGGATTGAACTCAGGACCCTGTGCTTGCCACACAAGCACTTATTCTACTGAGCTATCTCCCTGGGCCTCATTTCTTTTTTATAACAATAAGCAAATGCCCTTTATTCACACACCAAAAGTTACACAGAAAAAATACTGAAGTGGCTTAAAATGTAAATATTCTTTGGTTTACTCATTAAACAGCAAATAACAAAATACCAAAACCTTGCTAAATATAAAAGTGGCATTCTTTATTTATCAAACCTTTCAAAAAAAAAAACATTGAAATGCATTTATCTTCATGGTCACGTTCTTTAGCAAAATTTTTCCCTTTGATCCTTCAATCTCCTGAATTATTTTGATGGGTTCATCTCTAAACAAAGATTCTTGAATCTTTTTAGTTCTACTTGCTTGTGTTGTGCCCCTATCAGACTTATCTAGATTTTCTCTCTTGCCTCTTACACATGAAAGAGAGGTTAACAATGGAGATTTTATCAGCACATTTTTAGGATGTCAAGGGTAAGCCCTAAGGCAAGCATTTCAAGGCAATGAGATGCTATTACAGTTTTGAGAACTTAAGCATCACTGTTGGTACTACAAAGCAACACTCAATTTCAAAAGTATGTTATTATACTGGACACATTCATAATGTCTAGTATCATTCATTTCCACAGTTTTGATTTCAGAATACAGTTTTCTGAGGTTCAGTGTGACTGCCTCAGATATAATCCTTGAATATCAATGACACAACCTTTAACAAAGCATCTAGGGTAAACTTGAATATAGAATTGTTTCAAAAGAAGCAATAATAGCAAAAGAAAGCTCTTGGCTTTGAAAAAAAGGTACATGTATATAGTAAGGAACAAAACTGAATCAAAATAGGTAACTTTGTACATATTAGCCACCAACAATTGCTCTTTAAAAAAGTCATAAAGTTTGGAGCCACACTTATTTTCCTTCGAGTAACTCTACATTTGCATTCATCCTTCTCAAATCTGGTCCTCATTAAGAAGCTTTTAACCAGAACTTTTGGCAATATGTCTTTCTTCAAATAAAACAAGCCTCATAAAAAGGACTACCATTAATGTCTGACGGTTGAATTGAGCAATGTCTTCCTGAAATATGTGTGATCTTTAAAAAATTCTTTTTTCCTTCATGAATCAGCAGTGTCCCATCTTCAGATAAATCACAGTTACAGTCTTACTGCACTGGCTCATATGTTCTCTTCATCCAACATTTTGTTGATACCATCACAAAGTTTTTGTAAGTGAGGTTTAAAACTTCCAAAGGGATTATACAAAGCAGCCAAAAATTCACAATTTGAAAAATGATCAAAGACATTATTAACCCGTCCGTGTGACTTGGCGGTGAGGTGGCGCTGGATGATCTGATGGAGCATCTCCCTGCACTCGTTCAACAGCTTGGACAACACATTCCGGTCGAAGGTGTACTCCACCTGATGGAAGCTGACCACGGTCATGGCAAGTTGGTGAACTTTCTTCTTGAATTTCTCCATCAGCGCAAGCTCATCTTGATTAAACTGGTTATTCCTATACAGAATAGCCAGCTTGATGACCGTTTTGATGAGGTTTTTGATGATCCTCTCCGCCTCCTTCTTGTTCTGGGTGTATTCCTTGGTCACTCTGTAGAGCTCATCCAGGACCTCACTACTTGTGTCATCAATTAAGGTGGTGGCGATGGACTTGGACACCATTTTACCCAAGATCTTCTTCTGTGCCTGCACGGCCAGGTTTTTAGAATTAAAGACATCTGTGGCCACTGTCAGGGACAAAGAGAAAGAGACAGAAAGCATAAAAGAGCAGTACTAAGATAATCAAATTAAAACCAAACATTAGGGTATATTTTCTCATTTTCCCACTATTTGTGGTTTGCTTCCTGTCTGCTGATGTTTTTGTTCAGAAAACAAAAATATTTAGAAGCTTTTCTGTATTTCTGATACTATGTTCTCATTTGTGGGAATTAACAGGTTGATGAATAATTCAAATATTTTATACTTTCTGCTAGGTAGCCAATACTTTCTTTAGAAATTAAAGTCGGTAACTTTCTTGAAAACAAAAATAGTATGTCTCAAAGTGGTAAGATTTCATGAAATTTTTACCTTATTTAACTTTATAAAACTCATTAAAAACACAAAATCACCTTTATACTTGTCCCCTGGACAACAGCAACACAGAGCAATTTTAAGAAATTGATTTAAATGAAAGATAAATGGTAAAATCATGACATTAAGATGATAAATTCATAAAAAATCAAAAGGAAAGCCTTGTTCTACAATCCAGTTGTAAACAATCAAACTGCATAAAGCGCTGACTGGTACTCACCAGTCTAGTATCCTAAGCACCATGAATTTTAATTCTTAGAAGGCAAGTTTCGGAAGGAAATTCTCATTGGAGACTTCATTGCCATTCCCTATGTCTAATGAATAGGCCCACTGTCTTCTTTTAATTGTTACAAACTTTGAGGAAATAACATTTCACTAGCTAATGAAATATGCTACCTGAAAATGCTGAACCTCAGACTTTAATTTTGGAATGATCATAACTTTTAATTTGATTGATGTTTAAGACACACATGATAAATAGTTGTACATATTAAATATTAATGATACTATATGTAATGCTTCAAGATTACAGCCAGTGAGTGACAATGCTCAAAAGGGTTTATTCACTCTTTTTTTTTTTGGCGGAATCGGGGATTGAACTCAGGCCTTTGTGCTTGCCAGGGAAGCGCTTATTCCACTGAGCCATCTCCCTGGCCCCAATTCACTCTTTTGAGTGAATAATTCTACTACAATTTCCCCTACTCTGGGCAGGGTGCACTCTCAAAGCTGCTCTTCTGGAGCAACATTTTATCCCTGTTCGCTGAGGGCCTCAGAATTGCATTTCTCAGGGTGTCTACTCTACCTGTGATTCCACAGGTAACCGCTCTCTTTATATAATATGCCAGTGAATCACTTTAGGCTGGATCTTCAAAAGTAATCATTTGGTAATGAAAGATAAGAAGCCGAAATATATAGGTAGGAGTGAGTTATAGCATCAATAATATAGAATTATTTCTGGTTTGGACAGGCTAGCATCATTAAGAAGCAAAACTGTAGCTATTTTGAAATTCAGGATAGGAGAGCATGTAAAAAAGATTCCTCAATGTACAGCCATCATTTAGATGTGAAACTCAGGCACAGAGCAGCCACGTTAGATGTGAAAGTGGCTTGTGGTAAGGATACAGAACCAGAGACAAAAAGTGGTTCCTGATAGCCAGAATGTCATTCACAAACATATAATGTCATACATACAATGAAAGAATGTCTTGATTGAGCTATAAATGGTGCCCTCACAAATGTCAATATTTAAATACTTCTGAAACATGAAATGAAACTACAGAAGAACCAAAATATATTTTGAGAAAGAAAAAAGTGAAACTGTGTGAAAAGCAGCTAACTTTATGTAGGTCCCCAGCTTTTAAAAATGTTAAGCAGTAGTCTATTTCTATTCTTATTTCTGCAATGATTTGCAGAAGAAATTAAATTTCACACTGAAGAAGTTGTGCCAAAAGAAAGGTACTCATGTGGTTAACATAAAAAGACCAAAAGTAATCTTTCACCTTAGAATACCTGATACAAACTTCAAGAGATACACCTGATTTATACAGGAAGGGATATCCACACATTCCTAGATCACAGCAAATAACTAGGATTTCTACAATCTATTTGATATCAGGTTGAAAGGCTTTTCTGTTTTTAATCTTCAAAACATGGCCCAGGCTACAAATGCCTCATCCATGTTTATAGAGGCTTCTCAGATGGACGTACTATGTTCGGAAAACGTGAAGCTAGAGATGGAGGTATTCATCAGACTCCTCTGGGCCACATTTCTAAGGCCAGACTTACAAGTCTGCACCACTTCTCAGTTACTTTTCTTATTAAATCTCAACATCCTGTTTAATTTCAAACATAAAGAAAACAAGAACTCTATGGCACGGCGCTTTAACTTCCTGCAAGACAGGGTAAAAGGGCAAATCTACTGCTGACTGAGCAAGGCATTCTCTGTTTACTATAACAAGTCTGAACCAGAAAGGAAAGCTGATCACTGAGGTTTTCACATTTCTGTGAGCAGAGCTTCAAGCCCTACTAGGCTACACTTTCATTTTACCTTTGGTTATTCCAGGGAGTAGTCTTTTTAAATTAGGATGAAGATCTCTCTCCCTCTCCAATCACACAGTAGATTTATTTTCCACCATCAGAAAAGTTCTTCTGAGCCAACAGGGGTTGTGGTGGAGGGCTGCCGGCCAGGGATGTGTGGTTGATGGTTATGTGATTTTTTTTTTTTCCTTGCAAATGAACTGGTGCTAGCTACTCCAGCTCAGCCTCATCCATCACTTTCACATCCTCCACCAGCTCTCTCAATACAGGCCTGTGCCAACCAAGGTTTTCTTCAGTCTGTGCTCACCCTGTGTGATCTCAGTGCAAGCCTCCAGATAACACCTCTGTGCCAATGGCTCCTATGATTGTACGAGCCCAGCCTTGAGCTCTTTTACAGACCTACTTTCCAAAACCAATTAAAGTACTCTGTTTCTTTCTTTGTAGTTCTGCAGGAGTTACAGCTAAGCCTGGTCCAGAAACGAAACCTTGATCCCTGCCTTGGAAGTGTTCCTCTTCCATTCTTCAGTACCTCGGTTCTGAGTTTCCCTGTGGGCCATTTGCTAAAGCCAGAGACCCAGAGTCACTGGTCATCCATTCTCTCCTTACTTGGCCCATTATCAAAATTTTTCTATTTACATTCTCAGTTCTCTAAGTTCTCTCCACTTACCTCCATCTCCATGGACATCACCTAATCCAACCTCTTTTCTAATTTCTTCTCAACAGTAGCCACATTTTAAAAATGTAAATTAGAAAACGAAGCTTCACTTACATTCTTCACTAACTATTCATATCTTCTTGTTTCTCAAATCCTTGTTATTTTGCCTAGAATTACATTTTCTACCTCTTCCAATAAGCACCTAAGCTCTAAGAGCCAAAACTGTGCCTGTCTTGCTCACCTTGCCCTCTCCTAGGAGAGGAGGACCTGAAACACAGGCAGAGGTGAGTCCTCTCATCTCGTCACTATACTTAAGGACTTCTCAGTGAAAATATATTGGCCTATAAAATGGGAATTTTAAATACATGTATGGGTGTTTTGCTTGCATATTTTAAAAAGAAAAAAGTTTTTGTTTTACCTCATTAAATATGGGGCTTTCTTCCCTTCAGAGTGTGGTTTCTATTACTATAATCCATTAGTTATTTTAAAGAGGAAAGATTTGCTGTACACAAAGAGAAAACATTGAAGAACAATCATAGGAATATTTTGAGTCACAAGCTGTAATGCTTCTGACTTAATCTGTTTGAATATGTGGAATTTAAATCTGTGTTTAAATATATGATAGAGGAGAATCAAGGGCCCATCAAAGCAGCAGCTAAGATGTGCACAGGTGTTCCCCAACAAGAAGGTGCTCCAAGTATCAATTCATGATTTGCTCTTTTACCTACCAAGATTAATCTTACGCTTTTGGAAATAGAAACATAAATTGTTGATGAATGAAAAAATGATGCTGTATGTCAAGAACATACAAAGAATTATCACTATGTCAAAAATACCATGATTATTTTACCAAACAATAGGGAGTAATGTTATTTTACACCTCCTTAACTTACCTCCTTCTCTTTCTGGTTTAGTTTATTAACACTAGTCAGCACTGTTTGCTGTGAAGCCAATATCACGCAATCCTAATTTTAGTACCAACACTTACAAAGTTGGAGGTAAATACTGGTTTAAAAAAAATGCTGACCCACATATACAAGTAACAAAGGAGAAAGGAACAAAGGAAAAGTCCTTTAAGAACATTATTAATGAAAAACTCTGGTTTGCTGAAAATTAACAAAAAATCCCCTTAACTATTCCTACTAAGAATTTGCTTGTGGTATATAGTGAAGTATTCAAGTCACTTTCTTTACCACCTCACCGGCAAATATGTAATTTTTCACCCACCAAAATTATTATACTTGGAATTGTAAACAGTGCCTACAGAGGGACATGTCACCACAAATTCTTGCCAATCTAAATTTGACCCACTGGGCCCAGTATTAGGAAAGCTGGAAAAGAAAACAATCTGGAGAGCACATCTGGCTGCTGTGGTCTGTTAATAGTTTCTTTAAACAATTACACAAAACCTTAGCTCTCTTGCATCTGAATAACTCCAAATCTACATGGGTCTTGGTAAAAAGGCAGCTTTGGTAACAAAAACTAGCTGAAACAAACAGAAGTATTGTGCAAGTAATAAGCAGGCCAAGAGAGAACCTCACCACAAAGATCTGGCCACACTGAAATCTGGCCACACTGTAGAAGAAAAGCAGGAAAACCAATGGAAGAAAGGGAATGGAGGGTACACCTGGTAAAGTGAGGGAAAAAGAGGGGAGGGAAGAGAGAAAGATAGTATAGTATGTGGGCAGGGGCCACTGCCAGCAGAAGCAACAGGTGTTAATGGAAGGAGGGCTGGCCCTGGAAGGGTCAAAAGCTATGACCCAGGCAGCAAGCCAGAGGCAACCTTTTCATTCAGAGAAAGAAGACTAGTACCAGGCGCCATAAGCCCCAAACTGTACTTACACCCCACAGATGGAGAAAGTGTTGTCTTGGGAGAATCAGTACATCTGGGGGCCTTAACCTGATCTGCACATGCATTCTGGTGTGTCTTTTCCTGACCCCAAACGATTAAGAACCACTGATATA